ACGTGGCAAGCCTTGCACGTGAGAGGCACAGTGGAGGTGGAGTTCAAAGAAGAATGAGAAATTTAATGGTTTCAATCTGCCCTTGTTTTTTCTTTGTCTTTTTCTTTTTCTTTTTGCATGTTAAAACTGTGCCCGTTTTTTGCTTTTATTCTTTGTTCCGCAAAGTGCGCTCTTTTAGTTCATAGTTATGTGACAATATATAGTCAGACAGAGCTGCCCGGTAAACTGTGGGCGGAGAGGGAGAAGAGGCCAACAAACGAGAGGCTGTGACAAACTGTTTCGTCGGAGTTTCACCGACTCATCAGGAGGCTGAACCCWCAACAGTGTTCAGAATCCCCTAACTGATTACACTGTTAGTGATAGTCCACCTTAACCCCGACTGTGGTTAAGCATCAACGACTGCCCGACAATTGATACCCTGAGGTGGGCACCAACCACTGTCCTCAGTGTACCTGTGACGAAAATCAAAGCAGACTATCACTCACCCACACCAGATGGAAAACTCTACAGACTGTCAGTTCACACCCCATCACAAGCAAGCAAAACACCCACGAAACAAAGAAAGGTCTGTCACAGCCGAACAATACACTCCAGACACGCCGCTGGCACTAGAGGCACACAGCATGGCCGCGTAGTGACGGCCCCGACCGCTGCTGCTCGACCTGACCGAAGAAAACCGTAGCAGGGTGCTAGCGAAGTCGTGGTATATATCGTTAAACAGAGCTGCCCGGTAAACTGTAGGCGGAGAGGGAGAAGAGGACAACGAACGAGGGGCTGTGACAAATTGTTTCGCCGGAGATTCACTGACTCATATGAGGTGCTTTTTCCTTTATGTTTTTCAGGTTTTCTTTTTTCCATCTCTGTTTGAGCCTTGGGGTGCTTTTTTTTGCCTTTCTTTTTTTCTCAATGTTTTCAATTGTTTTCATTTTTCTTTTTTAATATGAGGTGCTTTTGCCTTTGTATGAGGTAACATCAAACAATCACAGTGTTACGAGTTTTTTTTTTTTTTTTCATTTTTTTTGGGATAAACTGCAAAATACCGCCATAAGTTGAGACATATGCCAAAATGCCCCTACAAGATGTGGGTAGAGCGGAATACCCGTCTGACAAAGAAAGTATTTTGTGAAATGCCCCTAGTGTTGGTTGGACCCCCAGCTTTGCAATATACCCCTTCCGGGTACCGTCCAACTTTGCAAAATGCCCCAGTACTTGCCAACTTTTCCTAGGCTCTATTGCAAACGGCCAAGGCCCAAACGGGGAGGTCCAGATTGCAAAGATGCACACCCGCCTGACAGGGGCACAACACAAAGATTTCGGCCCAAAAGGGCATTCCGCTCTACCCACATCGTTCAGGGGCATTTTGGCATATATCTCAACTTAAGGGGGTATTTTGCAAATTATGAGATGTTTTTGCCATTGTGTTTTTCAATTTTCTTTTCTTTTTCCACCTGTTTCCCATGGGTCGTTCCCTGCTCAACCATTTTCTCCTTCTCCAGTTTCATCCTCCAGGTTTGTCTGACTTCTCCCCTTCTTCCCCTGAATAGAATGCACAGTCATTGTTGATGTATTTGACTGAAATTTGGCCCAAATATAGCTATAATGGGGCTGTAATGATGGTGCATTCTATTCAGACTGAAATTTCCCCCAAGCACAATTATAATGATGGCACTGCAAGGAATATGAGCGAGAGCGATAGACAGAAATCCAAGTTGCAAAATCGCGAAGTAGTCCAGATAGTCATGTACCAAGCAGAGAGCACAATGCACCAAGAGACCATCCAAATGAGAGCAATACAATGAACTGTTGTGCCAATATCAACTCTCTGTGGCCACACCAACACGGTATCCAATGTCGATCCTACAGTCTGGCGCCCAGTGCCCAGCCTACACTACTCAGCCTATCTACCCTATCTACCCTCATGAGACTGGATCACATCGAAGTCGAAGACCAATGTACGTGATGCCAACACCAATGCCGGCCGCCAGCACTGTGTCCGAACAACGGGCAACGGGGGCCGTTAAATTCCGTTGAACCCCGTTGAATCGCCTCGGGGGGCCCCGTTGAATCCCGTTTAACGGGAAAACGGGGGTCTCCCGTTGAATCCTAAAAAACGGGATGGGCGCGTTGGGCCTCAGACACGTGGCCCTACGCGCCCAAACACTGAAAACAGGAAAAAATAAATAAAAAAATTGACCCCTGTTAACAGGGTGGGGTGGCCAAATATGCCCCACCCTCCGGAAAATCAAAATGCAAGAGGGAAAAAAGTAGGGGCCACCCTATACCCCAACACTGTGCGCACATGTGGGTGCATCTCCTTTTTTTTTTTTTTTTACAAATGCTCCAGTCTATTCGTCCAGTCTCATTTCCGAAGGGCCCCTACGTATTTGCAAGGACCCCTCGTGGAGCAGAGCTGGACATTAGACTTGTAGACTGCATGTGTGGGCCGAGAATATATAGTCTGGATTCGAATTCAGGTCTGTGGTACTCTGTGCATCACAGTTATGGGTCACTAATTCTCTGTTTTCTCGTTTTTCTTTTGTTTTCTCATTTTTCTTTTGTTTTTTCTCGTTTTCCTTTTCTTAGGAATACGTGCAGCGGCCCTAAGGGCCTCTACTCACCACATGCACAAAAGACAAAACATATGGCGGTGTATTATGCCACGTTCTAGCAGAAGATTCATTCTAATTCTGCACATTTGCAGTGGCCCTAAGGGCCTCTACTCACCATATGCACAAAAGACAAAACATATGGCGGCGTATTATTCCACGTTCTAGCAGAAGATCCTCTTTTTTTTCTTTTTTTTCGAAAGCCCAGGGTGTTGTAGAGGCCAAGGACCAGACCCGTGGTGACTGCTGGTAGCAGCAGCCAATGGTTGTCCTGACAGGACAGGCCACCTACCCCACCCATCCCCATGTTAATACTCCCAGCGCACCCCGTCCCTACTCTCCTACCTCAGTGTGACCAGCACTCAGGACCATCACCCTACCAGTATTGAGGGCAACTTGGACCAGAGTCACCAGACAGCAGTGACAAGCACCAGGGCTGGGCCAACCTCCCAGCCCTAATGGAAGCGGAAGCGGAAGCGGACGAACCTTGCTGTACGGGAACTTCGGACGCCAGGCTCATGCAATCTTCTAGGCCCAATTCAGAGAGTCTACCCAGCAGGATTACCTAAGCAAGGCAGGCCAGCGCCCGTGGACACATCCTACCGTCCTTCCCCTAGCTTACCCAAGGCTAGGCGGAACTCAGCCGGTGAGTCTGTGTGTGTGTGTGTGTTTATGTGTTTGTGTGTTGTGTGTCTTTCTGACTGTGTCTATGTCTGTGTGTGTGTGCGTGTCTTTTTTTCGTGTTTTTATTTGTTTTTTATGGTTTTGATTAAAAAAAAAAAACACGGAGTTAAAAAAAATAAAATAAAATAAATGTTGTTGTACATCTTTGAAAGATCTACAACCTAGGCTACCAGAGTGGCCCGGGGTCACTTGCCCGGCCGGGCCAAAAATAGTAAAAAAATAAAAATAATCAACTATTTGTAAATTTTAATTTTGATTCTAAATTTGGTGAAGAATTTCGATGTGACACTGAGGCAAAAGTTGTTCAGTTTATTTTTCTGCATAACATAGTTTTGCAAGGAATATGAGTGTGATCGATATACATAAAACCGAGTTGCGAAATCACACAGCTGAGCGAGTAGTAGTATCCCAAGTAGAGATTACTAATGCACCGAGAAAACCATCCATAAAGAGCAATACAATGAAGTATTGAGCCAATGTCCAAGCCCGTAGGCCACACCAACACAGTATCGAGAGTCGCTCTCTCTGTCTGGCGCACAGCGCCCAGCCTACTCTACCATACTATCCTACTCTACAGCTGGTTCACACAACAGGATCACTTCGGCTCATGAAGACCAATGTACATGACTGTCAACACCATCGGCGACCTCTCTTCATGTACCAGGTACGTAACTCGTCACCCTCAATCAGACCTTGATTATCCCACGCCTAACTCCCTGAAGACCACCCGATCATCCGCTGTACCCCCTGGCGCTTAGCAGCCCGGCTATGGCTGCCCTGCGCCCTGCTGCCCTGCAGCACCCCACTTCACCTCTTGCGCCCCGTCAGCGCCCTTGGCAGCAGCGCAGCATCAAGCGAGAGCGCAGCAGCACTTCCGCATTGCCAGCGCTGGCCAGAATGCCTGGCCTGGGCTGCCTCACTTCCTTTATGGAAGTGGCAGCCTGCTGCATGCTGCGTGTGGCCTGGCTGGAAGCTTCCAGTAGCTTCCGGTTGGGCCTCAGACCCTGTGCCCAGGCCGAGACTTACAGTTGAGGGCCTGGGCCCTTTACAGTTGGGCGCGGCCTGAGTCTCCGGACTTGGGCTGTTAGCTGCATCTGCGCAGGGCCSCCAGGTAGGTGCGTCGGCTGTACTGCTTTTCCAGAGGCCGACGGCCTGCTTCTCAATGTATCGGCCCTGCTTTGTGTGTAGGTGCCCAGGCCAGGCACAATTTTCGTGGCCTGGGCCAACTGTACGGCGCAGCTTAGTGAGGCTCGCGCGTTCACTCAACCAACTGATGCGCTGCAAGAGCCTGAATACCCACATATGGAAATGTCGAATTTGGCCTGTGACGAATATTCAGGCCCGCCTTCACTTAGGGTGGGCACTTGGCTTGCTGGGGCCTTGGCCCAGAACAATGTGATGTCTGATAGGGCCACTTGAGGGCTTGTTCTTCACATTCCATCCCCCTTAGCTTCGAAAGTTCGCTGAGATGCTTCATGCTGGTGCCTTCCCCTTCAGTCTTTTCACATAATCGGCCACGATCTGAGGAGCTGTCTTGACAAGTTCCTTTCTTGAAATCCATCGATCTTCCTTCGGATCTGTATGATGCCTGAAATGTACTCTGTATTCCCTCACAGGTTTGGGAGGTCTTCCCCTGCCAGGTGGCTTAGGAACAGGCGTATCTCTGTGATCCAGGATGTCGTCGACGTCCACGTGGCCATCCATGGTTGGGGGCAGCATAGATCTCCGTGATGGGAACTGTGCTATCTCAGCAAAAGGTGCAAGTTTGGAAGCGTGGAAAACAGGGTAAGTGCGTAAGTGACCAGGGATACGAATAACGTACGAGGGACCATCCAAATCATTCCCCACGATATCCAGGACTTCCCAGGGACCAAAATACTGTGGCATTAGTTTCCTAGAAATGCCAAACTCCTGTCCTAGTTCACTAGCCTTGACCCAGACACGTTCCCCTACCTGAAATATGGACTGTCGACGACGCTTGTTCTCAGAAGCAATCATGACCTCCTGAGATTTCTTAATGTGTTCGATAGTCTGCTGCAGCAGTTTCTCATACTGGACACCAAATTCGATGGTTCCAGGAGTTGCAACGGTTCGATTTTTCAGGCAGGAGGAAGTCTAGAGCAGATCTAGGCTTCCATCCCAGATGCAGTTGATTAGGACTGACACCGATGGTGCTGTGTACAACGTTGTTGTACAGACTGGCGATGAGAGGTAACTTCTCATCCCAGTCATCCTGGCTGGGCTTGATGTAATGCCTCAGCAGATGCTGCACCACTCGGTTCATCTGTTCAGCCTGCCCATTTGCTTCGGGATGATTCCCAGAAGTCATCTGAAGCTGGCTGCCCATCTGTTCAGCGGCATTCTTCCACATCTCACTAGTGAAACGGACATCTCTATCACTAACGATAGTCGTAGGCAATCCAAGATCACGCACCCAGTTGTCCATGAACAACTTGATGACGTGCTCAATCCTGGCAGTCTCTGGCATGGCGATTAGTCTAGTGTACTTAGTGAACCTATCCACTATGACGAAGATGTGCCTCTTGCCATTCTTGCCATTCTTGCTGGTCACAAGAGTATCCATGAAGTCCATGGAGATTTTCTGCCCTGGGCCAGCAGGAATGGGTAAGTAACCCAAGCGGAGCTTGAGTCCGCGACTTGTCCCGCTGACAGACCTGACAGGTCTCCACATACTTCTTCACATCGTCAAGCATGTTGGGCCACCAAAATCGCTGTACTAAATTAGCACTAGTCTTCTTATAACCAAAGTGTCCCATTGCGTCATGGCACTCACCTAAAAATAAACTACGCAAAGATTCCCTAGATGGAACAACTAACCTCTTGAACCCTGCCTTCTCAAGAAAGAGCAACCCATCCAGCATCACAAACTCATCAGTGGTGGCTTTATCTTTAGCCTGTAGTTTGTTGATGATGTCCATCGTGATGGGATCTTCCTTGTAGGCTTCATCCAACGATCGAGTCACGTCCTCAGACAAACCAAACTCAGAAATTAGCGCACCTAGGTAATCTGCCTCCTAGACAATGCGTCTGCAACCTTGTTGTACTCTCCCTTCAAATAGTCTAGTTTGAAGTCATATTGATCTATGACTTCAATCCAGCGTTTGAGTGCATCAGAGAGAACAGGTTGAGTCTTGATCCATTTGAGGGTCTGATGGTCAGTTCTCAGATAGAAGAACCTTCCTAATAGATAGTGCCTCCAATGGACAAGTGCCTTGTAAAGAGCGTAGAGTTCCATCTCATAGGTGGACTTTGCCAACTTCTTTGATGACATCTTTTTGCTCATGTACTCGATCTGTCTCAACTTCTTCCCTTCCTGCTGAGCCAGCACTGCGCCAATCCCATATTGGCTTGCGTCAGTGGTTACAACGAATGACCTTTGCGGGTCGGGTACCATGAGAACTTCATGATGCGTGAGAGCATGCTTCAAACACTTGAAAGCTGCCTCACACTCGTCGGTCCAGTCCCATGGTGTGTCAAGACGAGTTAGATCAGTCAAGGGAGATGTGATCGTATTATAATTCTTTACGAAATTGCGGTAATAACCACACATTCCTAAGAATGATCTGGCCTCGGTCACAGACTGGGGTCGTGGCCAGTTTGGAATGCTAGCCACCTTCGCATCTTTGGGCCTAATCCCATCCGCGGATACCTCATGACCCAAGTACAAGATTCGAGTGCGACCAAACTCGCATTTCTCAGAGTTTATCTTATAGTTGTGCTGCCGAAGGTGTGAAAGTACAGTGTCTACATGCTGAGCGTGCTCCTCGACAGATCTACTAAAGATAAGTATGTCGTCGAGGTACACGACAACAAACTTGTCCAAGTAGTCATGGAAGATCCTATTCATGGCGTGCTGGAATGTACCCGGCGCATTGCAAAGGCCAAAGGGCATCACCACAAACTCGTACAGACCGTACCTGGTCTGAAATGCGGTTTTGTGCTGGTCCTCTGGTCTTATGGCAATCCGATGGTAGCCGGATTTTAAGTCTATCTTTGTGTAGTACTTACACCCCTGCACCCTATCCAATAAGTCGTCGATGCGTGGTAGAGGCTCTTCGTTCTTAACGGTGATGTCATTGAGGCCTTTGTAATCAATGCACATCCTGAGTGTTCCTCCTTTCTTTGGAACAAACAATACTGGTGAGCCAAAGGGGGAAGTGCTAGGCCGGATCCAACCCTTCTCTGTGAGCTCTTTCAGTTGCCGCCGAAGTTCGTCCAACTCGGCTGGAGCCATCCTATAGATTCTACCCTTAGGTGTTTTAGTCCCTGGGATAATCTCTATGGCATGGACAATCTCCCTATCGACGACTCCTGTAGGCTCCTCAAACAGATCAGGGTACTTAACGACGATGGTCTCTATATCTGGGGGTGATTTAACGGCCTCCCCTTTCGAAGAGAGGCAGTAAACTGGAAGTACATTCCTTCCTCTTGCTTCTGTTTATAATAATTATAGAAAGCAGATGCGCATAAACACCCATAGGAGTCTACTAACCTACTAGTTTTGTACTTGGCCAGTCTCACGGTTCTCCCACTAGGCAACTCGTGCTTCAACACTTTCTTGTCCCAGTCAAACTGGGGCTTGGCAACCTCGAGGTAGTACATGCCCAATAATATGTCAAAGGGCAAGTCGTCGCTCACCAGGAATGATATCTTATGGTTTATCTCTCCTCCTGGGTAGGAGAAGGTGCAGACTACATCTTTAACGTAGTCCTCCACCATCATGCGCTCTTTGTTGGCCAAAGTAGATGCTACCGGTCTACTAAGGCGCTGCACCCGGTCCTTTAGGCATAGTCTGTCAACGTAGTCGCGACTTATGAAGTTTCGCGTGGAGCCAATGTCTACGAAGGCGCAGCACTTGCGACCACCCACATCAACTTCCACAACAAAGTGCTCCCCTCCAGGACCTCTACTCAGGACTCACGAGGGTCCCTTGCCGACCACTCACCTTGAAGGTCCTCTAAGGCCTCAGAGACATCCAACGTACAGAGTATAGTTGGGTCCGAATGCGTTTGCGGGGTGACTAAGGAGTCAATAGCTTTGGCCATCTCTTGAAACGGGGAGGGTACATCACCCGCTTCAACGAGAGTAGAAGCAGCTATAACTTCTACTAGCCCTAAGTGTTTCCCGAGCTGGAACTCGTAGAGGCCCCAGATTGAGAAGAAGAAAACCCACCCTTAGGAGGGATCTTCTGCGAGACCTTCGGGTTCTTGCACTTGAACTGTGTGTGACCATACTCACCGCAGTTAATGCAAGCACCACGACTCCAACGGTCCCACCACACTTCTTGATCCAGACCTGCTCTAACCCAAGCAGCTATTTTGTTTGGGTTAGCGGCCTGCCCCTGACTCCTTTGTTGACCGCCCTTGCCGCGGCCAGCTGCCTTAGTCTTAACTACGGCGGCGAGGTTGCTACCCTCAGCACTCTCCTCGCCGTCAAACTCTGAACCCTCCACAAGATCAGAAACATCATCGATCTCGGTTTGATTTCAATCGGAATCAACCATCATCAATCGACTACCCTTCTTTTTCCATTCTTGTGGAGTCTTCTTCCTTCTCCCGTCCGTAGAAGGGGTTTGAGCTCCACCCAGCGTAGCCTCTAAGTCTATGGCCTTCTTGCTGAATGACTCAAAGGTGTGATACTCGCGTCGAGCCTCGCTGGCTAATAAGTTCCTAATGTCTGTGGGAAGACATCTCAGGAGCATGGTCAGCAAGACCTGTGGATTGTACTCCACTCCCGGGACGACGATCAGACGCTCTACGGCTGTGGTAAGTTCCCGCATTGACTTGTACTTTCTAGTATCAAGTTTCAAGAGCCCGTCAGTGGCTATCTGTGCCTGCTGAGGGTTGTGCCAACGAGCCTCCACTAAATCCGTAAAGCTTTCAAGAGTATGGGCCTGCGCCCAATCATGCATGTTCCTGGCGAAACCCTTTGAAGCAACTAATCCGTTTAGCCAACGGGCTGCTGAACCCTCTAAGTAGGATGCAACAGTAATCACTTCCTCTTCTACCAATGTCCTCTTTGCCCTTACCCACACTGGCACCGTTCTCAACCATGTGTCGAGAGCCTCATCCTTCTTATCTCCTGAGAAGGTTGCAGGTGGGTTCAGTGGGGTCTTGGGATACCAAGGATATTGCTGTCCCGCTTGCGAGACAGGTGGCGACTGTGGTGTAGCAACAGTCGCTGGACCAGAAGAAGCAACTGTCTGAGATAGTGCTACTGTTGATGAAACACTTGGTGGTGGTGTAGACTGAGCGGCATAGAGGCCTGTCATCGCTGAGAGTGGCAGCGATGGTAACGCTGCTGGCCGGATCCCTGGCTTGTGCATAGCATTCAGGATCTGGTCCAAGGTGTCCTGGATTGCATCCAGTTTACTGTCCATGTATGCATGCATGGACAGGATGCTCGCCTTCAGAATCGTTTCATTGTTGCTGAGGGCCGAGTCATCTAATCCTTCTAACGCAGCGTGATCTGCCTCCCTGCCCTGTAGTCTAGCACTTCTATCTTTGGTCTCTTTCTCTCTCTTAGTAGCTTGTGTAAGTTCCTCCTCTAACCTTAAGCGGATCCTCTCTACTTGCTGGAGCTCCATCTGCTCCCGGGTGCGTGTAGGCGGCGAACTGAACTGCGAGCCCACCATTTGAGTAGTGCCAATCCCTGATGTACTGGAGATTGACTGTGAACTGGTAGGCATGCCTAGCCCTTGACCAGTTGAGTTCGCAGCAGTTGCTGCGGAAGTAGCATTACTCATTGCTACCGCCCAAGCGGCTGTTGCTTCTCTTGCAGCCTCAAGATTACGGGCCCTAGCTTCAGCCCTTAATCTTCTCTCTTCTCCCTGCTGTAGGGTCTGGAACACTCTAGGAATTCTAAGGGATGATATCCGTGTTAATCTCCTATTGTCATCTGCACCTCCCTCACCCTCTGACCCACTCATAGGTTAGGCAGACGCTGTCTGCACTAATGCCCTTGCTGGAACGTACCGCAGCATGCGTCTGACCGGATCTAAATAAACAAATAAATAAATGTCCAGTGAGTTACCTAGCCTACTAGTCAAGCGGCATCAACACCATCTACACAAACTGTACACATTGCCTAAGTCTTATTTTGATTAGTCTGCACAGGAGATTCGAGAAGAACTGACTATGGTAGATTACAGTCCTAACTCTAGTCTGTCTGTTAGGTGTCAGCAGTCGGTCAACCAACTAGTCAAAATAAAACTCCGACTAATGTGAGCAGATGTATGCACAATGGATATGTCAGTGATGTATAGTCGAGTTCACAATTGGAATCCCCTTCCACTGTATCCAACGTACCTGTGAGCATCATCAAGCTGCGGTGTCTAAGGTGTGCAACCACGGCCCACCCATGTGCCCAAGAAGTATGCTTATGACCAACCTGCCCCTTTGTTTACCCTCGCGTGCAACGGGCCTTACGTCTGAATGATCTGGCTGATCAGGAGGGATTTAAGGAGAGCCCCCATCTCCTCAGGAATTATTTAACGTCGCAAACAGGACGACGATCACAGCCAGTGGACAATTCAGACCCCAACCAGAAATGTTTATAGACGGTCTGGGAGCGTCTCAATAGGACTGGTCAGTCCGCACACCCCTTCTATCAGCGCAGCAAAAGAGCCTTAATGGACAAAGCAGCCATCGCATGGGTGTACTAATCCCATTGGGTTGGCATGGTGACCGCGACCCACGTGCTTCGACCAGGGCCCTTCAGAGGCACCGCCCTCTCCTGCCAGATGCGCCACCGGGAAGAATGTCGTCTCTCAAGATAGAGCGCAC